AACCTGACCGGAATTCCACCTACAGGCCACGGCCTGGCAGCAAAGTGCCTGACTCCATGGACTGGAGGGACAAAGGATGTGTTACGGATGTGAAATATCAGGTGGGAGGCTCAATCTGTTCCCCTCCTGACATGGGTGCACATCACAGCAATGGCTGAGCGCATCTCTCTGGCTTTTTCAGGGGTTCTGTAGCTCCTGCTGGGCTTTCAGTGCTGTCGGTGCCCTAGAAGCCCAGGTGAAACTGAAAACTGGAAACCTGGTGTCTCTCAGTGCACAGAACCTAATCGACTGTTCCACTACATACGGGAACCAGGGGTGCCTGGACGGATATATGACCAACGCCTTCTGGTACATCATCGATAACGGCATTGATTCGGACGATTCCTATCCGTACACAGCTCAGGTTGGTATCCAAGTTTCAGACAGACACAGAGAGGGTCTGTCTACACTGCACACTAAGCCTGGGTTCTGACTCAGGTTTTAGCCCAGGCTCCCCTTCCATCCACACACAAATCAGCCTGACTCAGGTCAGTAAACGCTCAGGGCCCAGGTCCTACGACACTGCTAGAGGGGTGGGTCAGAGTCCGAGTCCTGCTGACTTGGGTCCAAACCATGTCCTTTTTCAGTGTGGACGCAGCTCAAGCCACAGACCGAAGTCAGAAAGTCTGCATGGTGCAGTTAGCATGGCTGTGAGACCTGGATCCAGCAACTGTAAACCCAGGTTTACAATGCAGTGTGGATGCTCAAGCCTGGGCTTGGAAACACTGGGTATGTCTACACTGCAATGTAAGCGCAGGGTTTGAACTCAGGCTCAAGCCTTACCCCGCTTCCATCTACACAGGAATGGAGATAATGGAGGGCTCGGACCCAGGAAGTTCCAAGCCTGAGTCAAGCTGGGACTCAGGGTTCAAGCCCTGTTGCTTTGCAGCATAGATGCAGCCCCACTGGATTCATGCTCTGGGTGTCCACCCAAAGTATCTCACAATCCCACAGGCCCACATTTTTTGTCCTCTGTATAGTCAAGTTTGGGTGGACAGTCAAGATTTCCCGTGGTGCACTGTGAACAAAGGGCTGGAGCGGCCACATTTTGTGAGGGTGCTAGGAAGTGTGGGATACGGTGCTTGGACTCTGCCCTGCAGAACACAGTGTAGATGCTGGAACCCCAGGTTGGGACCCAGGGTTCGACATTCCTAACCTGGGGTTACAAATGAGTGTAGATGCTCAAGCAGTAGGTTACCAAACCCAGGATCTGCTAACTCTAGTTCTACTAACTCTGGGCTTGCATTGCAGAGGGTTTGAGACCCTGCCCCTGCTAGGTCCCAGAGCCCAGGCTCCAGCCTGAGCCTATACTGCAATTATATAGCCCTGCACCTGAGCCCCAAGGGCCTGAGTTAGACGTCACAGGCCAGCTACGAGTATTTTATTGCAGTGTAGACATATCTTTTTGTGGCCTGTTTTATTGGGTCTTTCTTTGCTGTTTGTATCAGCACAAAGACTAGGAGAAGGGATCTTCAAGGCAGTGTTCTCTAGTGGTTAGAGCAGGGGGCCTGGGAGTAAGGTCACCTGGGTTCTAATCCCAGCTCTGGCGAAGAATGGTGTCTAGCGGTTAGCGCAGTGGAACTTGGAGTCAGGACTCCTGGGTTGTAATCTGAGCTCTGTGTGTTCCTCACTCTGCTACTCTGTGAAACCTAGATAATGACACTTCGCTCCATCTCAGCGGGGGTGGTGGAGGCTTTTAATTAATTAATGTTTGTATAAGTCTCGTAGATCCGCAGATGAAAGATGCTACACAAGTGCTGCAAATTTTTATTGCTGTCATAGATTGAGTCCTCACATTTCTTCTTACCGGAGTGATGGGAAAGGAGAGATACCAGCATTGGGGCATCACAATTAGAGCTGGGTAAAAAAATTTTGGCACATAGTTTTCCAAAAAATTCATTTTTCTGGGCACTGAAATTATGAATTCGACCCGCATTCAGCAAATTTTTTTGGGGGGGGGAAAAACCCTCATTCCCCCTCCCCCCCGGAAATGTCGAAATGCACCGTTTTGGCATTTCCAACATGAACCATTTTGACCCCTCATTCTGAAATGACATTCAAAAGGTTTATTTGACCCGAATGAATTTTATTTATTTATTTATTTATTTATTTATTTTCAGTGAAAAAATAATAATGAAAAAATTCTGCTTCGATTTGAAACAAACAGATTTTTTAAATTTTACTTTTCCGGGTAAGTCACTGAACTGAAAAATCGATTAGCCCCTCAGCTCTGATCTCGATGCCCAGAGGCAGAAGGAATGCCCCAGAGGGAGCAGCAGTGGTCTAAGAAATGAGAGATTCAGACAACGGAAGGGAATAGAAGGGAGATAAAAACAAATATTGCGAGTGGGTTGGATGTTCATGCCAGAGGCTGAAATGTCCCTATTTCATCGGCTCTTTGCCCCTGCCAGAGCGGAACGTGTCACTACAACCCTGCCACGCGAGCTGCCACCTGCTCCAACTTTGTTACACTCCCGCATGCCAATGAAACAGCCCTGAAGGATGCCGTAGCCAATATCGGACCCGTGTCAGTCATGATAGATGCGGCACAGCCTTCGTTTTTCCTGTATAAGTCAGGTACGTTCTCTAAGCTAGAACACCTCGCGCCCGGTGCTGTACGTAGTTTGAAGCAGTGATGCCTTTGCTTTCTGTGGACTGTCTCTTTAAATTGGAAGAGGAATGTGGAGGAAGTTGCTATTTGTTTTGCAGCATGTTACTGAGGAGACGCGCACATCGTGCTCTTCTCCTGGAGACCTGGCTTTTGTTGCCTTGTTTTTTCCTTTTGGAAAATCTTTTGGACCCTCAGTAAATTGCAGTAATTATAAAACAAAAGCCCCAGGCGGGTGAAAGCACGTTTTGCTGTTTGTGAGTGGCTCCATCATGTGACCGCTTGGTTCAATGTGTGTTACATGTCCCCCTCTAGCAGCTGGCTAGAGGATAAAAGCCTAGTACTGCTGGAAGCTAATCTCTTTTGTTCTATACATATGGTAAGTCTATACTGCACACCACTGCTGGTGGC